GAGTTCAATAATTAATGGAAAGTTAAATGAATTTATATTTGCATACCCACCTTCTTCCAAGGAGTTCAACTGCATGGCATACATTCATTGCATGCAATTAATCAAGAATATACTCTCTTGTCCTGCCTCACTTCCTCCAAGAGGGAAAATAGTTTCCCAGCATACCTTTTCTCCAGAAGAAAACATTCTGAATCTTCCTGAGCTTGAAACACAATACCAAGCAGGCATGCTAGTGTGCCATGGAATGAGCTCCTAGAATGCATCTATAATCAGTGTAAGTGGAGACGTGGAACTGGGCAGAAATGTGGAGGGGGAGAATAGAAAAATGTACTGAAAAGAAAAGCCAAGTTTGATCATTCACTGAGCCATTAACAAAGATGCACACAGACAGCTGCTCCAAGGTGACCGGGAGGGTGGCGGAATGGTCATGCTTATAAAGGCTTAGCATTAAAGACTTTTAGGGAAGTGGGGAATCTTGTAATGCTGGAATATGGTCATATGTGAGTTTGATACTGGAGAGTTACTAATTTCAGATGTCTGACTCACATCTTCAACCATGTTCTTCCCATTTTCCAACAAACTTCGTAAAGATGCAGGCAGGCAGGAAAGTAATATCAAAAACAGTATTATAGGACAGGTGATCTGTCTAGGCAGCTTCTAGATGTGCTGGAGTACAATTCCCATCAACAACACCTGGGGTAATGGGACCAGTTCTCCAAAAGATCTCAAGAACACCAGGTTGAGGAGGACTCTGTTTTCACTGAAAGAAGCTTTTCAGAGTCAGGTTTCCATTATCTTTTCAACAGGAGATGCCATGTGTTACTGAACAGGGACTGCACTTTGCAAATAAAAAAATTCTCCCCTACTTTGCCCTGGCTCCTTTCCTAAAATTCCTCTCAGTTGAGTTGCAGGAGCATCATCTTGTTTTTGTCTTAACAGTCAAAAACACTAGGGGGCACAGTCACTCCTTCTTACTGAATGGTCCTCTATTGGAACTTTTTTCCCTTATTGATCATTTTATTGAATGTACCATTCATTCACAGTGTGATTTTGTTTGTAACAATTTTTCAGCATGTATGTCACTTTAGGCTCCTTGCAAAACTGTCTCTAAGGCTGTCTGCAGCTTCTGAGAATCTGATCTAATTCCTCCACCCTTCCTACGCTAATAAAACAGCAAAAAGGAAGCTGTTAGGACATGTTTACTTGTCTGGAAAGACTGTCCATCCTGATTGCTGGTTGCTCTAGCAGAACAGTAGTATTTCTAGTCTTAGAGTCTTTACGTTTCATTGGTCAGTCTATGTGCCATTTGTTTAAAGTGCTCCTGAAGAGTTTTCTGATAGTACCAAAGGTACTATCCTAAGTTGCCCATGTGGCAGTGGTTATTAAAGAAGTCTGAATCAAGTTGGAATGATTGTTTCTGGAACAGGACTTGTTGATAGAAATGGCAGAAGGGAGTTCTGCTGACCTGGTTTGAACCAGAAACAAATGTTTCTGTATGTTTCCAGGGTTCTTTTACAAAGTACTATCTCCACATTGCATAACCAGAGGGTCCCACTGGAATAACACTATCAGAGGGAATGCAAGCAGTTCTATTAGATATCACCCTATGTATCTCTTGTCAGTATTCATACTCATATCTGAAACAAACTTAATATACCATTAGCCTAACACACATGATGGTATACTCAGAAATATCCAGGTGCATTTCCAGGTAAACTAATCCCATCTAGTGTATCCTAATCTCAGGATATGAGAACCATTTTTAGCCCAGAAGCTTGATTTCACAAGCAAATCAAGGTGGAATGAAAGCTGATGTCAGGGGGGTGCACCAAGGGAGCTCTCCTCATGACATCACCCATCCTGCTCTACACCCACTTTTTTTCTTTGGGCAGAGAGGTGGAGAGCCTGATGCTTCCCTTGGCACAGAGAAAAAGCATGGATGGAGATTGCAGGGACCAACTTCTGCAAACCCTGTCTGTGCTGGACTGCTCCTTCCCTCACTGCCCGTGGTCCAATCCTATCATAAAGGGAACTAGAAGGGACTTGAAGTAGCTGGCTTTGCAAACTCCAGTGAAGCACAGATTCCCCTGCTGAATGGTGCAGGGGAATCCCAACAAATCCTGATCAGTGTTAAGAAAGAGATATATCTTTGCACTACTGTTCCCAATGTGGGGCTTGGGAAAGACAAGGTTCGACCTCTGCGAGCCAGCATGGGTAGGAGGTTGCCCACCCCTGAAAAAAGAGGATGAATACAAGGGAACTGGATAGTATACTCATCCTTTACCTATTATATGGCATAGGTGGTGTGCAAAGGAATATGGCACAATGAACACATCCTCATGCTGTACTGATGATGCCTCCCCTTCCACATACAGCTTCTCAAACCCTCTTCATGCTCTGCTGCTGGAGGCCCAAGTTTCCTTCTCTCTTCTCCTCCTGAGAAAGGATCAGTGGCATTGTGACAGTCCATTATACTGCTCACTCATTATCTTAGTATTTTTCATGCTGATTACTTCCCTTTCTGCTTGCTCCCATGACAATGCTGGATGGCAAGTCCAAATCTCCAGCAGTAGGGACCAATGCTGATCTAAGTCACAGAGTACCAACAGGTTTGTGTGTTACTCCACTTGCTAAGCACACAACTAACATCTCTCTTTTCCTCTCAACCACCATTCCACACTTTATAACTGCTTCTAAATTTCTGCTATCTTAGAATAGTAACAAAGATTTCAAGCAGGCACAGTTCTGCATTTTAAACTCACTTATATCATAGCATCATTATGAGTGCAGGAATAAAAGTTAGTTTGCTTCTGCTGTACTGATCACTTGCTGCTCTTTATGTTTAGGGGACCTGAATGTTGTCTCAGAGTTCCAACCAAAGCTGTACCATTATGTTCATTCATTCATTCATTCATTCAATTTATATCCTGCCTTTTTCCTACAAAGGGCTCAAGGCAGCTTACATCTCCTCCTCCATCTTATCCCCACAACAACAACCCTGTGAGGTAGGTTGGGCTGAGAGTCTGTGACTGGCCCAAAGTCACCCAGTTGGCTCCATGGTTGAGCGGGGACTCGAACCCAGATCCTCTGAGTCCCAGTCCCATTCTCTTAACCACTACACCACATGTTCCCCTCTCAACACCCACGAAAGCTATTTAAATCCTTACAGCTTTGTTTTCAGTGCAGCATCTGCACTCCCAAAAATTGCTGCCTTTATCAGCAAGTCCAATCTGCATGCATTTTCCAAACTTCCAGCTTTATACACAGAACCAACTGGAGGTTTCCCTACAATATTCACAGAAACACAGCAGAAAGGAAAGAGCAGTAAAAGGCAAGACAATCACTCCCAGAGGGTCATAAATATTTCTTGATGGTCATACTCAAAGGAGCAGCCAACAGGAGCAGTGCTGGCCACATCCTGTTCTTGTTGGAGAATGTGCAGGGTTCAAGTTGTGATTGGCAGAACACCAGTGCAACAATGAACACATTTCGTGCATTTAAAGGAATTAAAGGCATGATTGGTTTGCCCAATCACTGCACCCCATGATGGTAGGTTATGATGTATCTATGAGGCATTTGAATATTAAATTGCCAGTTGGGGGAATGCCATGGTTTGTTGTGCCATCCAAACCTGGGAGTGAGGGTTGCTAGAGGGTTAAAAAGCCTCAATAAACAAACAGTAAACCATGCGTTATTTGAAGGATGTTTAACTCTGAAACAACTTCTGTTGCCCAGGTTCAGATGGCAGAAGCCACGGCTGTGGTTTGAATGATTCATGTACCCACAAGCTCATACGTTGTGAATGTGAAGTCACAGCTGGCTACAGCAATCGTGGGAATTAAGTCAGTGCACAATGTTATGCATAATTAGACAGAAAAAAATCCTGAGATTCCCGTGATGGGTGGGGCATGCTGGCAGTTGCAACTTTTTCTGTCTAAACGTGCAAAGGATTGCATCCTAGATTTGTGTGTGCGTGAGCCCTCCAAAAAAGCACTGCCGTGCCCAGACCTCAGTTAACAGGTAGGCAATGCTTTTCAGGACTTTTTTGTCCTTTCTTGAGGAGGGGGATCTTTTTAAAAGGCCCTGCCTCTCCTAACACATACTTTTAATTCACCTACCTTGGATTCCTTTTTCTCTCAAGCCCCTGAGTCGTCCTTCCCTCCCAATTTTGACTGATCCCTAAAGTTCTCGGTTCCTTTACATTTGAGTCCAAACGACACTTCTAATCATCGGAATAGCGTAGCTGAGCCGCCTTTCTTTCGAGTAGGCGAGTGCGGCCCGGATCGGGGTCAAGGCGCCTCGGGAGAGGAGGGAGTATAAACTTCCACAACCCCAACGGCGGGAAAAACTTCCTTGCTGCAGTTGTCCCATTCTCCTCTCGCGTTTTAATGCGTAGTTCGCTCCTTTGGCGCGTGCCCCCGTTTGGAAAAGGCACTCCTAACGCCGCCGCCACGTTCCCGACAGTGCAAGGGTGTTTCTGGGTTTAGGTCCGCTTTGGGTTTTTTGCAGCGGCTTTGTCGACTTTCCCGGCGATGCCGGCTCTGCCTATTGTGCCCTAGCTCCACCTACCTGTGGCTTCGCCCGCTCTTCACCCGCCTTGCCCTTCGCCCAGCCATAGCCTCCGCAGGCGCTCGCCACTTCGGAGGAGAGAGTAGCAGGACAGGCGGGAAAGAGCCTGGATTTCGGAGCCGAGGGCGCTGAAGCAAAAGGCGACTCGTGGCGGTCGACTGACGGGCGCCACAACAGGCTGCCTTTGCCGCGCCGGGCAAGGGGACCACATTGCAGGCGCGTTTGGGGCGGGGCGGAGGAGGAATCCAAGAGTCCCCGAGCAGCAGGGCCGGGAGAAATTAAATGTTGGCGGCCCGCCTCAGCCGACCTGAGGCGAGCAGTGACGGGTGACGTGCTGGACATCGCAGCCACCGTTTCTACTGAGGAACGACGGGGGGAAAGGCGGTAGCGGCGGCGGCATGGTGTCCCGCTACCGCTTCGACTGAGCCGGGATGAGGAAGCGCCCATTCCAAGTGAGCAAGGTGCTGAGGAGGAGGTTCCGCCTCGTGCTGATCTTGGGGGTGCTGGCCGTGGGGCTCTGCGCAGCCTACTTGGAGGTGGTGGTGCTCACCGACGGGGGAGGACATCCCTTGAACCGCAGTAAGTACCTTGCTCCGCGTGTGTGTGTAGAAAGCCTCCATGCTTGAGGGTGGTTGGCCGACCTACTCATAAGTGTGACCTGCAGAGGGATTAGCCTCTGGAACCTGTTTTCAGTAAGTGCCGCCGTCATAAAGGCAAACGAGAGTGCCCCTGGTCATGTGTAGGGAGCCTTTTCCTACCCAGCCAGGCAGGCCCAGAAGTTCCGTGCAGGGAACAGGGCGAAGGGAACGTGGCTTTCAAGACCGCGTGAGTCCAGGCACTTTGCTTAGGGCATGCATAGCAGAGCATTTCCTAGCTGCTCTGGCTTGATGCTTTCTTGTGGGTGGGGGAAGCTGTGGGGACTGAGCTTTTTTGATCTCGCAAAGGTTGGGGACCAGGTTAAAACAACTCCATTGATGTATGTTGGGATGATTAACAGCAGGAGTTCTGGAGGTGAGAAGTCCTCAGGTTGGATCTGAGCTGAGTCCCTGGCTGGCCTTGGGAAGCTGCTGCATTTTATCTCTCTGTTTCTTACATGATCCATAGTCTGCTTTTCAAAATTATCTACAGCCCATTCTCCCCTGCCGCTCCAACATAGTGGTTTACACATAAAGAGGGAAAATGTTGAAAGAAATCTAAAAGTGCATAAAACGTTAATATTTAAAATGCTCAACTTTGTAAAAAATTAGCCAACCAAATAATAAGCATTTCTGCCTAAAAACTAGAAATTCATTTTAATGACATTGAAATAGAAATGCCTTCAAGCCCAGTTCAACTAGGAAAGGAACATAAATCCTGGAGTAGGGAATTATAAGGGATCATAATGAAAATAAGAGACCATGAATAAGAAAGTTCTAGTCCTCATGTCCTCTAATTTAATTGCTTATGATGGTGGACAAACTTGCAGATTTTAAATATCAGGAAGCTTGGTATGAGTGGGGGATGTTCTACCTGTGGGTTTCAGACCCTGTATCTGTAACAGTGGTATTGTATTGTAAAATACATTTAGCTCTCTAAAATATATCTGGACATGCTACTTGAAATTAAGTTATGTGAATTTAAGGCTATTCCTTGAGGATATATTTGCCTGGATCAGTCTTTCTCCACATAAGCTGCCTCAAAACATGATTAGAGAGCGTATAATGAAGGCATTCCGGAACCATAGAGGAATGTAGCCAAAATGTTGATTTTCCTCACGGCTGGAGTCATCTTTGGAGCTAACTGGGTTTGGCTGATTGTTTCCCATCAGCTTGTTCTAAAATTAGCAAATTAGAGGGGGCATAAGTTGACTAATTAGGTGTGGGATATAATAAGGTGTGTAGGGCTGTGGTGATGGATCTATTCCCATGTAAGTCTGGCAAGTTATGTGTTAATTACTCCATAATTAGGTGCATGCTGCCATCATTTGCATATGCAACCTTCAGCTGAAACTTAAATACTATAGTTTAGTTGTGGGCTAAGCAATCCACAGTTAATCTAACAACTAATTGTAGATTAACTGTAGGTTATTTAACCTACAGTTTACCTATAGTGCTTGGGTGTGAACAATACCTGGTTCAGTGCCCTGCATCTAGCCACTCAGTAAAACAGTAAAATGGGCTTCTGTGACTAGCAATGAAATAGAACAAAATGAAATAAAGAGGAAATGTAGGTGATGTCATGCCTTTTGGTTTGTCTTGCTTGTGTCCCCGGACATTGGTTTGTATTCTGTTCTGGCAATATGTTAGCTTCACTGCTCTAGTGAATAGTTCACTATGTAGACCAGTGTGACATTCAGAAAACTTTGCATAAGTAGATGGGTTGAATATGAACTACCATGTAGGTTAGTCAGAGTGTGAACTTCTTATTGAAAGATTAAAATGGTGAGATAGATTGGCCTTTTGTTTAACTCCATCCTTTATTACTGCAAAAAAATCCTCATGGGGAGGGGAATGGTGGACAGAATCAAGCCATGTTTCTAGCATGCTGCCACATTGGAGCAGTTCTCACTGGTTCATCAACCCTATTTTTTTAAAAAAGCCACAAATGTGTACAGTTTTTTTCTTTCTATTTAATATTTTTAGTAAGACTTGTGCAAGTGCACACTTGCACACTTTTGCAGGACTAAAATGGCATCCCTTGCCTAGGTAAGCAGCAATGTCTGCTGTCAAAGTGCAGCAGGCACCCCTCATGGACATTAACCCAGAGAGGGCTTTGATGTTCACTTTGATTTGTCTTGACAGCTTTCAGAAGGTGACTTGTCAAGATGAATCAAAGTTGTGAGTGATCTTTGCTCATGAAAAGTGGGTGGCCATTAGATCACTCCCTTCACAACGAAATCTTCAAAGGTGCCCCCCACCCATTTTATTTGGACCTGGCTCCTTTGAGGGTTCTCCATCTTTTCCACCCTTTCCTAAGATTCTAGTTGCTTGGGAAGGTAGAAAGTGTGAGATAGTCAAGCAAGTTACCACAACACCAGTTCCTTTTAAAGTGCTTTATTTTTTGGACAGGGTTGCCCATGGGGTTATATTAATGGGGACATAAGCAACTGTGTCTGCAACTATCTCTGTGAAGAAACCATGGGGAGCCCTGACAAAAAAATTCCTAAACCCTTTTAGAAGCAACCAGTGCTTAAACAGCTAATCGGCAAATCTCTGTGCTCAGGTAGAAGGCAGTGGCTCACACTCCTGAAGCACTTAGAATCTCAGGAAAGGATGGAAAGGTAAGGGAACCATGAAAGTGCCCAGGCCACAGAAAACCTCCTTGAAGATCTAGTGGCCACTCCGTTTCCTTGAGGAAAGATCACTTATGCATGTGCTTTCCCTTGACAGTTTATCCTTTGAAGGTTATCAGAGTTGTCAACCAGAGTAAAAAATAAAGCCTTCAGCAGCCTCTATGGGTCAGTGCCCATGAGGGGTGCCTGCTGTGGCAGTTTGACAGGAAAGGCATGGCATTTGAAACCTACAGAAGTGCACACTTGTGCAAGCCTGGGTTTTTTTATTTAAGAAAATATTTGTGTACATTTGTGGTGCCAAACTGTTTTTTTTTTTAAACAAAGGTGATGAACCAGTAACAGCTGCTCCAGTGTGCCACTTGGGCGTTTTGAAGGAGCTGTTACTGGCTGTCAATTTGGAGATGGTTTTTTGTGATCTCGTTTGGATAAAGAGAGGGGAAAATTCTGTGGCAAGTGCAAAAGAGTTTGATACTGCAGCAGAGAAGTCTGACAAAACTGGTACTCCTTCAGGGTGTTCTGGGATTTTTGCAGGAGGACAATCCATTGTGAGTCCAATTATCTGCCAAGCACACTGTTGCTTGTTTCACCCTGCATAGCCAAGTTGCATGGTGCATTGACATGACATAAAAACATACCCATTCTCTAGTCCTTCACAGAAATGAGGGCATGCCTTTTTTGTTACAAGTACTGTAAACAGTAAAAAGAACTTATTTAAAATTCTGTCTGTTTTTATTTGATTAAAAAGTTTTGAATTAATTAACAAATTAGTCATCTGTACAATAAGGTGCTTCCTTGTAGTGTCATGGTTGCAAAACACTTCTTGGACGATGGAGCAGCTGTAGCCAGCATCAAAAATGCACAAGTCAAAGGTGTTAAACTCAGTTGCAATCTAATTAACAATTCCCAGTCCCTTTGAATATCCTCATCAAGGTTTTCTTTGTGATTCCACACCTTACTTTTAACTTCTGTTCTTGTTAATAGCAATACACTGCTTTATACCTTGAATATTACTGTTTATATCTTGACTTTACACCTTCTGCTTTCTCTCTTGCACACTTACACATGCATGTACTGTTTGCTTAACTTTGATTTTGTTGGTAGATATTGGATAATATACCATGGTGTTGTCTGCTGCCACATGATTAGAGCAAACAGTTACTAATACCTAGCAAGTAATTACCACAATGTATGATAAAAATTATTGGTTAAGACAGTGGCTTATACTTCCATAGGTTCACCAGGCAAAATGAATTCACACTATTAACTTTGGTGCAAGAGATGTGTACTGCATTTATGTGCTGATTCATGATATGTGACATTAGACAGTTTTGCTAGGTTTACACCTGTGCATCAGGATCTGAAGCCACAACACACCTCTCTCCAGTGACAGGCAGTGCATTTTACCCTGCAAGTGCCTGTCAGGTCAGGACCAGACACCAGGGCTAGTAGGGATGGAGCCTGTGCAATCCTGCAGGGTAGCTGGGGGCTCTGGAATGCTGTATAAAGGGCTTCTCTGTGCTGCTCAAGTTTGTCACTGCAGCACAGGCCTTTGTGGTGGCTGTATTCTGTCCCTGAGCCTACTTCTAGTCTTGCTCTTGACTGCCTGCTCTTCCCTGTGACCTGAGTGTACCTGACCCCCCTTTGCCAGGTACCCAATCCCTGCCTTTGACATCTCCTAATCTCTTGTCATTATCCAACCTTGCCTTCTCCCTTGGACCTCCCATGCCTTGCTTGGCATCAGGCCCTTGCTAGTTCCTGGTGCTGCCTTTGCATCTGGACCTGCCAGCCCATGCAGGGTATCTGACCCTTGATTGTTCCGGATACTTTCTTTGCGTATGGTCCTGCTCTATCTCAGTGGTATCTGAACCTTGCATGTGTGCATACACACAATTATAGAATCATAGAATAATAGAGTTGGAAGGGGCCATGAAGGCCGTCGAGTCCAACCCTGTGCTGTTGAAGGACACCATGTTGCACCATCCCACTCAGATGGCTGTCCAGTTTCTTTTTGAATGTCTCTAGTGTGGGAGAGCCCACCACTTCTCTAGACAGCTGGTTCCACTGTTGTATTGCTCTGACAGTGGGGAAGCTTTTCCTGATGTCCAGCCTGAATCTGGGTTGTCACAACTTTAATTGATTATTCTGTGTCCTACATTATGGCATCAGCAAGAAGAGATCTTGACCTTTCTCTTTGTGACAGCCTTTGAGGTCCTTATAGAGGAATATCATGTCCCCCTCAGTCTTCTCAAGACTGAGCATGCCCAGTTCTTTCAATCTCTCCTCATAGGGCAGTGTTTCCAAACCCCAG